GAACCATCCATTACTTGAACTTCATTGTTTCCCTTCCTGGGGAACTCCATGAAAATGAGGGCTTGTTGGCTAAACTTTTTTGCTATTTATAGGTTGGATCTGAAAAGACCGACTACAAGCTCGAGGGGCTCTACATCGATTGGAAGAACAGAGAGGGAAATGCGTCTACTGGATGGTGGGTAACTATACCTAAGAGCATCCATTTAGCAATAAAAGTTGGCAAAGAACTGATAATCGCATCATTTTCAGGTACGATATAACGTATTCCGTTGGAGCTAAGTTCTCAACCGTTGACAGGATCAATGACCCCAATCCTAACTGCGTAAAAAAGTACCAAATGGGGTTCGTAGTACTTTTTTTAAACCATCGAATAAATGCCTTCGATATGCATCAGGCAGATCCTGGATATTTCTGAAAACTGTCGTCAGTGCCACATTTAAATGTATTTATTTAAGGGGTTGGTGGTTACGTAATTGCGCATCTGCGACATTGAACGGAGCCTACGACTTCTCCTCCTCTGGTGGATATGGTAAGTGTAGAACCTCTACGGACCACTTTGCCATGTGCTATAGGTAATAGTGTTGCAGGTTTGTTTTGGATACTTAACGGCATGGACTACGTCATTCATCCGCGTGAAACCACTATGATGCTCAGGCCCAAACTGTAAACAAGCAACATCCCAATAAATCTTCAACTTTAGTGATAGTACAGAATAAAAGGAAAATGATATTGTAATGCACATGAAACAAAGGCAACACAAGCCGATTATCCGAAAGAATGAATAGAAACATAGTCATAGCAGGGGACAAGGAAAAAATTGACTTAAAAATTATAGAGATCATGAAGAAAAAAGCTGAACTTTTGTATCATCCCCTGTGTTAACTCCTTTTTCAGCTCTCGAAACGTTGATGATTAGAACTCCTATGGTACTTACAGTTTACGCAAACATTAATGTTATAAGACTTTTTAAAACCTGCTGCCAAGATGTTAAATAAGTTCTTATCAACTTACGTTTCGGCGTAATCGCCTTCTTCAGAGCCTGGNAACCTGTGTATTATCATTATCCATCCTTCAGTCAATAAACAAATAGAATTAAAAAAGTCTTATAACATTAATGCAAAGCTATGCCAAGATTCATCGAGAGTCGAACATGGATGCTTACGCAAACATTCACATATAGTTCTCCTACTGGCTTCCAGATAGAAGTATGAATTCTTAGTGATAAACACAAACCAGCATGCTTACCCGAGCAGAGTTGAATGAGCTAAATACGCTATTTTCATAAAAGGTTAGAGGCATTTGTACAAAATCACCGTTAAGGCAAGTAACATCTCATTATGACACATCAGATAATCCAAAAGCAATCGAAAAAATGGCCTTGTCTGCAAGCACGATTATGGTTTTTCTCGTATCACATCCAGCTGGTATGGCTCGAATCGCAGCAACAGTGGCGCTGGACGGAAAGTGGATCATAGCCTGAACGAAATCAGCCCCGGTCTTCAGCTTGAGAATATAACTGAAGGAAAACTCACATCGGCCCTCCTCCCTGACCAATCGTGGGCGTCAAATCGCTGGCGGTCCTCATTGTAGACTACGGAAAACAACGAATTTTTGAGAGAAAACAGGCAGTTTGTCCACATCGTTGACGACATTTGACAGTCAGTCAACCACTGTGCCATTTCTATACAGCGCACCTGAATAGAAGTAAACATTGGACTAAAGTCAAAAGGCAAGCACCAGGACCATAGCACATAATAAAGGTACTTCTCCAACGGACCTCGTCATTGTCGTCATCTATCTCTAGACGGTAAAGCCTGTGAGAGATGCCAGGATGCCGACCACCAGGCAAAAAGGTGACCGCGAAGTGCAGCGAAGTCTCATCAAAACTTATTGATCTCATCTTATCAAAGTTGTCTAAATAGTGATGGTCACTCTGTGATTGAAAATAATTGTTCAGATGAACCGCAACAATCTCCTACCATCTACATTGCTCAGCAGAGGAAAAACTCTGTCGTTCCTGAAAGCTACAAGTTTTTTGAAAGAGGCCACAAGCAGTGTTGTTGAGACGGGATCGAACCTACAATCATAGGCATGAACAGTGAAAAGCAATTCAATAAACTGAAAACAAAGCTAGGCAAAATTCTAACCCTGTAAAAATGATAGGAAGATGACCAACGCCTTGAGTGTAATCCCGTATTGGTTCTGTAGAATCCGAATCTACGGCATACTCTAGAACTCGGCCATCACCAAGACCCAACGCTACCTGAATTTCAAAAAAGCCTTTCTGAAAACATTAAACAATTTCAGAGACAAACGAGGCCCAAGACAATACCTTATTTGCGGCAGTCCAGCATCCTGTCCACACTGGTTTCTCATTGGGCATTCTCCACTGTCTGCGAATCGCTCCTTCCATAGAAATGATTGCTCGCTTGTCTTCTCCCCCTGAATTCATCGATATACTATCGGAAAATCCGAGTGGAAGAGACACTTTATGGGAAACCTATAACTCAAAAAGTAGAGCACACCAAAAAATTCTGCTCGATTGCTTCGACCAATGAAAAAGAAGCCTCATCGCAAACTTTTATGAGGGGGTAGGCATCACTTCTCTTGGATCTGGGACAGTCGTAGCCTCTCGATAAAATACTATGTCTTCCTGCTGCCCTGTTGCATATATTTGATAAACCAAGTATAACCGTGGTCATCATCTGAGATACGAGGGCCCATGACTAGATCAAAAAATGAAAAGGTAAATCTAGAGAGACCATGCTAGTTTCTCCTATACCAGGTGGAGCATACCCTGATTACCATCCACGATGACACGATCCATTACGAGTGCGCCAAAGAATAAATCAGATACAGTCATGTGGCCTTCCCAGGCAAAAGAAGTAAAACCAGAAAACAAGGTATGCAGTTGAACAACAGCATGGAAAAAAATGAAAAGCCACCTGATAAGAGAAGGGAAGATTCGAACGGTGAGAAAGCAACAACGCGAGAACGTCCGCTGTGGAGGGGGTAACACTCTCGCAGTTTGAACTCTTGCCGGCTCTTAAGTATATGGATTTAACAGGACCTATTAAGTATACATAAAAGAAGTTATGAGATACATGAAAGAGTTCAACGGGCAGTAACTTACGATAGTGAGAATACGAATTCCAAAGGGGCTGAAAATGTTGCGAGCCTGAGAACATGCAACTCCCACTGCCCAAACTTCTCCGTTGAAATCCATAGCACGGGCATCTGCAGGTCATAGACTTCACGAAAGCCAATTTGGCAGAAATTACAAGTTAGTCAGCCCCAAAGGAGCTATTAAGAGACGTGGATCTCATGCTCGTTCGCGAAGAAAAATGTAGGGAGATTGATCTCACCCGCATTAAGTCCTCCTACTGCAAGTGCTTCTTTCCGCTCCGGATTCATGAACATTCGACCACCTCGCTGCTGCACAAATATTTGCGGGGTACTGGATGAGCTGTCACTAAATAATATACCCTATACAGTAACTAATGTGATCAGTCTGCAGTGGAAAAAATGAAAAAATGGCTCACGCAGATTTTCCTTCTTGGAGCTTCTTTGCAAGCTCAGCTAGCTCACGATCCTTTTTGGCCAGTTCGACTTCGAGTCCAGATATTCTAATGTGTAGGGCTGCATTAGAATTCCGGAGCATTTCCACTTCTGTGGTATCAGTAACCTTAAAGAAAATATGTCGAGAGTTCAACACACCAAGAACTGCAGCTAAACATTCAAAGAATAGAAAGGCCAACATACCTTCACAGTTGCGGTGTAGTGTTTACGTACGTCTTTCAAATTTGTTTTCGTTTTGCAAGTGGGACATACAGCATTTTTACCTTGAATACTTTTGCATTGATTTCTGAGAATTGACCAATCCGAAAACATCAAATAAACAGCACCTTCGCTACGAATCCACCTCGCAATACATGAATATCCAAAGAAATGCCCACATTTCACTGAAGCCAAACGATGTTCACCAGCGCTCGTGTATTCCTTTAATTAAGTGCACTTTTAGGTGTGTTGTGAAAGCGAGAATAAATGTAAAATAATAAACAACCAACTTCATAACAAATGCTACATCCATCGTCAGCCTCGTCGTCACCAGCTGACGCCGCAGCAATCGCGGTGGACGAAGTTCCTTCCGTGGATACCCTGCAAACACGAGGTCCATTCTAACCTTGAACACTGAAAGGTCAGAAAGGAAGATGACAGATGCTAGAGAACTAGTCAGGATTGATAAGTGAAAGTTTGCCCGTTACCCTGTTTGGCAGCTCTTCCTATTTTCTGCATAGTCGTCTGTTCGTCTTCGCTTAGGGCGATTCACCGAATTCAACTGTAAGTTGTATGAGTGGCTTTGTAAAACATTGGGTTATCTCTCGATCACAAAATCGAGGGACTAACCTCGCTATCGGAATCGGATGGTGAGCCCCGGGCGTTTGATGACGGAGGTTCTACATTTTCATCCAGTATTTGAACATCATCCTGAAAAGAATGAGAACGAAAATTTAATAAACATTTGAGGGACGAAACAATGCAGGTAACACTACATCATCCACGTTCTCCATGATCGTTCGCTCGAGATCGTCACGTACTTCTTCACCTGAATCACTTGATTCGCTGTCACTCTGAAATAAGTTCAATGAGAAATGACACGAACATCCTAAAAAGGAAGTACGTCAACTTGATATTATAAATTACTACGTATTTACATGTTACGTATAATAGGGTATTATGCTACGCAATGTGAACATACAGAGGAAAGTTTGAGGAAGAAATACCAGTGAAGATACCTCGTTGTGAACCTCGGTATTTGATGAGGAACGCTGCGTGGACTGCTGAGACTGTTGGGTAGATGTACTGAAAGAAGTAGTAATCACATAAGGTAATGAGAAATACCTTGCAAATGAACAAACCGTCTTTCCTGGCTCCTGCGTACAGCACTACGGGTCCGATAAGTTCTTTGCGGACCTGCAAACATCAAAGAAGTAACGTGTATTACGGAAAATAATACTCTTTTAACGCACGTTCGTCTGACGAATCACTTGACGTAGATGACGATTCAGAAGTTGTTGATGATGTATCTTCACTTGAATCCGTAACAAATTCTTCGGAAGAGGAAGTCTGAGATGAAAACCTCTCCCTGCCGTGACTGTCTCTAAAATGGTAATCTGCGCTACCGAATGAAATAAATGCCTGCCACAATCAAAAGTAGTTCCCGAAAAAGGGTGATCTCATGTTAAAAGAGAAAATTACACGTCTACCGAAATAAATTTACGAGAAGTCCGCTGATTCTTCGAGCTGCTGCTACCGTACGAGCTGATCGAAGCCTCGGCATTTCAACAGGCAGTGCCCATTAGTTGTACTGCCACCAACACCAAGAGACCTGAAATTGGAGGCTTACAGAGCCCTTGAACCTAACCGAAGCTTTCTAAAAGGTCCTGTGAAGCGTCAAAAGGATCAATCAATTCTGCTCATGAAGATATTGTTAGGAAGAGCTCACTTCCCTCTGCCTCTGCATACTGTATGAAATATTCAACACACCAAAGACGTTTACACTAGAGAGTATATCAATGTGTAAGGGACACATCTTTTACAATGTGTTGTTGAACAATGGATCTGGTTGGTGTATAAAATATCTCAGCATGATACAATCCAGAGAGGTCCATAATAAGAGCAAGGTGAACAGTTTTCCTTACAATTTTCGAATTTCAAAGGTTGTTTCACGAAGCATAGCGAAGGTTCTCTGTCTCGTTGGTTTCCAATAGTGACTTCTTGGGTAGATTAAGTTGCGAAATCCAACATAAGTTCAAAAGAGGTACAATTCGTTGTTTACTGGTAATAGACTACTCGTATACAACCAGGAAGCATCACCGGCCGTGACTGCCCTGAACTCCCTGGCGTGGGAGATTTGAAAAAAACGCACCTCAACAAAACCCACCAGAGTAGCGAGAATTCCGAAAATTGTGGCTCCAATTCTAGGTTAATTATACAATAACTTAAACTTTGCTTAAACGTTAAGGACCAATAAAATGAAGATCCTATCAAAATCTGGTCGAAACTGAAACGTACGCATGAATAACCAGCTAGGCAACAGGCAAAGAAAACCAAAACAGCGACTTCTACACTTCACCAACTTTTTTTTACAAAACACGGCTGCCTATAGAAATTATTTCAATACTAGATGGTATTTGAAAGGACCATACGTTAAAGAAATTGGCTGCTAGTTGTTCTACCAATACCAGCTATATCGGAAAATCTAGAAGAAAGAATCAATAAATCCAAAAGACATACAACTCTTGCTCGAGAATTTCATAATTGCTGCCACGAAAAGCAAAAACAGAAGATGCAGAATTGGCAACTTAAATTGCCCGCCCATTGTAATTCTGAATTGGCGCTAGAGCGCGGAAACTTTCTGAGCGGAATCGTTATTGGGATGGGTCCTGTTCTCTACGAAGTTCAAGCCTTCTTTTCACCTGTTGATGCAAGCCGGTGCTTCCTGGAGCACGATGATCTCCGTTGAAGTGATTATGTCAAAGTCCGGTAATGCAGTAGTAATTAGTTACACCTGAACAGCGGCATTTGTTATCAGGAATCAGCAATTTCGATATTTTTTCCCAGCTTCCTGCATTTCCAATCCACCCGTTCTCTACAAACTGCCGCTGCTCAGCATATAGGCAGATCCTGCGTAAGCATTCCAAGGCGGCGAGGTTCTGTTACTGTGCAACTTTCGACAGAACTTCATGCACAACCTTCGTGGTCTTCAAAGAGGACCATAGGGTAAGTTCTGATAGCGACCTACGGTCCGACAACAAAATATGGTGATTTATAGTACCAGCTCGAAATAGTGACCAGATGGGAAAAGATCCGATGCATCGGTGGAACTAAAATCATAAAAAATGCCGCTGTAAAAAAAATGCTACTTCGTCTGTCTCAGACGTCAGAGGACGCAACCTTACATGACAAAAACGTCCTTCTCCCGCGTAGAGATGGTATCAGTCTTGTACTAGCATAAAACAATCCTAGCGATCCAGGGATTCTGGTTAAAATGAAGCCTCTAATTGAATGACCAGCAAACAGACTCGACCTAAAGACACGCATCCATGTCCAGGATCCAGGGCTAGGCGAAGGATAGATGAGTTCTTCGTAGTGACAACAGAAGGTGTCTTTGTCTTGGCGTTCTTTCTCAAAGGTCTTAGTGGCGTGGAGAAGGCTCTGACATGAGATTATATCGTCCCTAGGATTAGCTTTCAGACTTGGTCATTGAAATGGATCGACAAACTTGACTTCCTCGATCGTAGCTGTGCCTGAATACTTTTGGCTTTGTTTTAGCAAGTCTATTCAATGACAACTTCCATAAAGACAGGTACGGTACCATTTACAAAAGCCGGAAAGCTTGGTTGGTGGGTGAGGCCAGAGACGGCGTTTAACCGAGGATGATAGGTAACACCTGGGTAACAACGCCAATTGGCATCTCCCACTTCTTCCACACATATCCATTGCCTTGAATCGAGGATGTAACGCTGTCCCGGACAGAGTAATCTTTTATCGAGATCGACAATCCGTTGCAGAGACTCACTCGAGGGAACGGAAACTACACATAGCACGTACCTCAGCCTCGAGCTCCTTATCTTCGCAACCGTCAAATAGGAGGCATTAAACAATCAACTCACCAATAAGCATAGCAGTTTGGTAAGTTTAGGGCTCAAGGATAGATCTGCATCACCGTTCCTGCCCATTTTGCTAATGATAACAGCTGATGTATCTAGGTTGTGACCATGTGCTGTCGCCCAAACGCTATTATAGAGCCGCATCTTTGGTATTCAGCTTGAATGACTCTATTCAACGAGCGACTGAATTCTTGATAAGCACTCATAAGTGAGAACTTCCTGGTCTTTTTAATACTCCCAAAAATAATTGCTTATCCATGCTGGGCTGGTAAAACGACTACTTGTCTTAAGTGAGAAGAGGAGCTATTTCCACAGGAAAAAATTGCCAAAAGAAGCTTTCCAGCATACTACCTGAGTGATAGTCGGTCACAGTGGCAAACCCTAGGCCGGCGAATGAGGTGAGATAGATAGGTGAGACCATCACCTAGAATGAACTCGTTGAAGCACTTCACGGAACCATAAAGGCATTGGAACCAGTAACGATTACTGCCATAAATTAACTGTCCGTTGATATTTATGGTAAAAGGTATTTCATCTCCTGCCTGGCGTATCACCATGTAATCGTCTGGAAGTGATAAAAATGTAGAATAACTAAAATTGAAGGGTCTAAGCCGAAGAAGTGCAACATGATGACTTCTTTCTACTCCTAGTTCCTCCGTTGCCTATTCTGTAAAACAGATGAAGACATTCGGAATTAACAAAGTGAACGTCAATTATGGTAGTTCTCAGCAGAAGTTTTTTCTAAGTGCTCAGGGCTTAATACATGTCGCCCACCCTGTCATTTCAAACAAGCAAGAGAACATAACAAACTTCTGTGTTTGTTCAAAACTGCCTCTAGTTAAGATGGATATGTTATAGTTGAACGATGAAGGCGGCATGATGCTGACGGGAGCACTATCACAGCTTGGTTCCGGGATCGGATCTCGGAAATGTTCCTTCCCGGTCTACCAGGGATTAAGCCCTTCAGGATTGGTTAATCGGTGACTAGTCCGGGATGATAGAACACTAAAAACACTCTTTCTTGGACCGATTAGCCTCGCATATCATTGGATGGGCCACAACATGCAAAGGCCACCACAAATCCGAAGAAAGTCAAATGCGGAGGTGGAGGTGAAGGGCAGAGAAAGAGCAGGGAATGGTGAAGGGGCGGGGGCACCTAAAATAGGGATGATTAACTTTATAATACTTCCTTCCCCTTTATTATTTATCTTTTACAGTGACCGCCGCAATCACTACGTCTCAGCAACACCAATAGGATCGCATCTTGCACTGGTAAATCTTCGAGAATGGTAGTTCTCACTTACATACATATAGGGAGGCATTACAACTAACTCATTGGTAAGGGATCGACATTAGTTGTTCACATTGATATTAAATATTTCTGTCCCCAGACACGCAGTGGACCTTACGGTAGTACTGGGTTCACTAAGAGCCTTACCATCTGAGAACTGCAAAGTGTTGTAGTATTCTTTCATGGTGAATATAGCTGACCGTTCTTTTCATAGCGTAACGGCTTGATTTGTTTTCAGGAACTAAGTTAGCAGATATTTTTTCCTATTGTCTTTATTGCGTAGGAAATTTGCAAAATTGCAATCTGCAAACTGTAATTTTCACTTCCGTAGTAGAAATGAGCAAGTTGTTTTTGAACGACTAAGCTACTTCTCTCTTTGCTATTCCATAAATAAGAACAGTATCAATGAATCCTGTGATGTCAACTGAATACAATAGATTTGTAAAAAATTTGATTGTTGTTTTGAGACTTGTATTGAGATTTCCTATACCAATTCGGAGTGAAAACCCATGTAGATTTCTGCAAAACAAACATTTCCAGGTTTTGTTGGAGACGGACTTGAAAGTTTACGGCAATCCCTATCGGATACTGGTACTGATCAGCTCTATCGTCTTATTACCCTGACCAATACGAGGAGGTAGTACGGTGAGATGGGCTTCCAGGCTCCGTGCGTTCTGATCATATTGGTTCGGGGCCAAGCGGATCGGACCTCCTGCACCAGCACTCCGTGTTAATTGGTTGTGGGGTTATCAAATGAATTTAATTCCTCATTTGGACTTCGGCAGATTGCCATAGGTTTCTGTTCAGAGCAGCGAAAGACGAGCATGGTTCCATCATAGACCTGAATTGGAGTTTAATAGGAGGTCTGCTCGTTGGGCCTCAACCCTTGTAGAAAACATAATTCGTTTAAGTCACTCGAGGCTTCCGTCTCATGAGTGATCTATTCTGCTTCTTCCCCTTCTTCTTCTAGTTCATTTACACTGGAAACTCTTCTCCAAAGACCTCCCTCTGTATAAGGAAAGTCATTTTTTAGAATTCTGCAATCCCAGAGCAATTGATGCTGACTAGACGAACGGAAAGAATCTGTGAATAAGCGAAAAATAGGCAGATGTCGAGATGAAAGCTGTGCCCCCTCCCTATCGCCCGCCCGCCTCTGCACGAGCATTAGTTGTCGCTGTTGGTCGCCTCTTCGTCTGCCATGCGCAATGAATCCCGTAATCAGCACAAGTAAGTTGAAGATTCCATCTTGAAATTCGTTGGTGGAACGGCCAAAGATCAATGTTCACACTTATTTTTGGGGTAACAAAAAAGGTCTAAGGAAGTTGGAAGGGTGGGGGGCAGAGATATGATGAGATATGTAGTTGCTTTCAGAATCATCTCGCAATGCCGAACCAGCCAAACGTCTTCGCTTCAGAATCGGTGGACATTCGTATGTCGTCTGTGGTGAGATTACTAGTTCGTTTTCATTTTTCTGATCAGAAGCTGAGGAACTTCGTGCAGGTCTGAGTGAGNGCATAGGACTTATCAATTTTTGTATGTTTTGATTCAAAAACAATTTTTTCACGATTTCGTGAGAATTGGTGTTATAGCCTTCCAGTGTTTCTTGGGAGCATTGTCGAGCTCCAATAGAGGCCAGACTTTCCGGAACCATATACTTGTCAATGTACTTTAGTAATTTGAAGTGTTTCGGGTCGAAATTTGAATTTATTCCGTGGACTTCTTTTTTAAAGGTTTCACGCTTATGGTACAGCTCTTGGTACCCGAATAAGGTACATGACTACTTTCTCGAAAAAGACCTAAAATCTATTCAAAATGGTATATTATGGTATTGTAAACTAGTGGCCCATTCCGGTTACATGTCCAGTTTTGGTCCTATTAACATTTTCTGGCCTCTTCCAGCTTGTCTATGATCCGGTAGCCTTCTCTGTTTCCAGATATCATTCGGAAGCAGAAGAAAACGGGTGTTTTGCTTCTGACTGTACTTAGTACCTGTTTGACAGTTTTTGAATTCAAAGTCTGCTTTGAAAAAACCGCCTCGAATGATTTCGATTATCATTCCTTGTTTTTGAGTAACCTCATTGGCTTTATTTCATGTCTAGAGTCTTATTAGAAAAGACTTTTTTCTACTAGATTTCTGTTGAAAAGATCTTAATTGCCGTCGTTTCGCCGTATTATGGATTTTATGAACTGTCAGCAGACTAAGGATTTCTTGAAGGATTCGCCCTCTTTCATTTGCTGGTTAATCGAATGTATTGTGAAGATTTCACTTCAATAATTTACAATCTCAGAAAGGGGATGCTTTTATAGATAGAAAACCTTTCAGAATTTCAGGATTATAAAAAAGCGGAATGAGAATATATTGTGTTTTACCTCGGTTTGTAAAAGTCTTGCAATTCTTCCACTGCTCTCTCTGGATCCATTCCGAGGCATTCATAATTAGTGATTTATTCCAAGCCAGCTGGATAAGACTCATGAACTCCCCTAAGAATTTGGTCAGGAAAATTCTGCTTGAAATCTGTACAGTGACATTTGCAGAACCTTCCAAAATTTGTGTAGACATTTTATATTACGAGAATCGTGAGTCTGAGCTAACAGTGACTGTGCAGTTTCCAAACCCAGGCTTAACTATGGCCTACTCCAGGAGGGTATATGTAGGCTGGGTTGATCACCTTCCTCGAGACTCGCCGCGTGTTCGTCGTCCGTTATAAAGTTTTTCAGTACTTGCTTACTTGGTACACCTATACAGTAATACATAATAGTGACCGCCCGGCTGCTGGCTTGCTGGGTTCACCAAATTTTCCCTGACAGTTGACTTCATCCAGACAATTTACGCATCGGAAATTAAGTTCAACGATGGATTTAATTAACTGAATTGCCCTATCCATTCCCTATAAAAGGCAACGAAGGAACCCTTTCACAAACCAGATACCAATCCCCTTGCCATTTCCTTCCTAATTTCCCTTCTGAATTTTTTTAGTTACCATCGAAAATTTTCAGAGTTTTCAAACATAAAGCTGCTTAAAATTGTAGAATAGCAGTAGAACTAGCACTGCTTGTGGCTGTAGCGCGATGCCTCAAAGTTATTCACCCCTACGACAATTTCTTGCTCAGAAGCTCCCATGCTCCAAAGCGAAGTTCCAAGGCGTTTAACGGTTTTGGCACATCTATCCTGCACGACTGTCGGTCAATCTCAGAGCACTAACCTCTTCATTCTATCCTTCCTCCATCCCTACCTTCATTCGTTCTGCAGTAATCTTAAGTATTGCCATCATTGCGAATTCTGTGAATTTCAAACTTTTTTAAAATCATTTCTTTGTCGTTAGAAAGATGCTTATACCACTTTTGATAAAATTGTGACTTTGTTACTATTTATTTTATTTATATTAAATTAGTTTATTTTTTTTATAGATTTTTTATCTACTAGGGTCTCCCGCTGAAACATTGCAAAAATTTCGTTAAGGTGAAGCAAGAACTGAAGAGTTCTCCTACTTCTCCTACTGTAAGTTACTGATACGGGTCATCTTTTAAGAGCAGTTTCGAGACAGCTCACGTTACCATGAAGTAGCTCTAACTCAGAGCATACCATGAGCATAGCATGGAAGCTCCCGCATGGGATTCTCCGAATTCGTTCCGTCCGCCTCATTACTTCCTCGCAGTTGTCCTATAATTTTCTAAGAGTCTCTGGATTTTCCCTGTTGAGCCGTTGACTTCACGAGCTCTTTCTATGAGTAAGAACTACCCACAAGTTGGCAATTTCTCGGGCAAAGCGCTTCCATCAATGTGGGGACGATCTACTAAGTGCTTCTTTGATTACTGGTTAAGAAGAAAGCGTTTTTTGTAGTGTCCTCTGTGCTCCCAATCCTATCTCAAAAGCAATAACGAGCTGTAATGCACCACTAGAAAAACTCAATGCCCTTTTACAATGGGGTTTGTTTAGACATCCAGAACCACCAAGAGGATGTCGCGGGAAGTGTTTGTTGAGACTTTGTTTATTTCTTTATTTATTACATCGCCATAAGGAATATGTGAAAACAAACAACATCAAAACAAACAAACACAATCAAATGTAAGCACCTGATGCACCATGTACTGGATTTGGGGATCCTTCTGAAGTATCAAAACAAATACCG